TACTGCGTATTTATGTATATATATATGTGTGTGTGTGAAACAAAATTCAGTCAATAAAGTTCTTTACAAGTTTTTTCGCTTTCAGTGTACATTTTTTACTTTTATGTTTATTCATAAATGCTTTCAATTATGAATAGGAGGCTTTTAAAAGGCTAAACACAAAATATATCTTTTTATTCATATATTTGTATATATATATATATGTACAATTTATATATATATACATATATATGTACAATTTATATATATATATATATATATATAAATGTATGTATGTATCTCTATCTTTATGTATCTATCTATATATATATGTATATATATATATATATACATCTATGTATATATAAACATCTATATATATATATATATATAAATATATGTATCTATATTATATATATATTTATATATATTCATCTATACATATTTACATTCAACTATTCATCTATATATATATAGTGGTCGCTACAAAAGGCTAAGTGTGTGCGTTCGTCTAAACCTCGTCATACTTAACCTACATATCTTTTACTAGCGACATCGAACAAGATTTCATCCTGCAATGCCACACTACCGAATACAGTTCCGTCGTCTCTCGATTGGTCATACTTTGTCAGCGAAACATCCGCATAGCCTATACTATACAAAAAGAGATAAACTGCCAGAGTATCGGGAGCACCACCCGCCAGATTCAAATGGTCTTGGACTCCATTCAATGTCAGTATCCCATCGGGCTTGACCTCCGCCACGGCAACTCCAGCGTAGCTCATCAGACTGCTTGTATCAGTTAGATAGTATGATCCATAATACCTTCTGCGGTCTGCCTCATATATATCTCCGGTAAGAAGAGTTGCTTCAGTTTTTGACCCATATCGCCTTCTTCTTTCGGTAGTCCACTCGTCCCAGTGATACATAGACTTGGTTGTATCAAACCCAGCGGCATGAGCGACCTCTGCGAAGGTTATCGCGCCACTTTCAAAATCAGTATACGCCACCTCTGTGACTTCCAGGCGACTGAACAGAAACCGGTTGGGGGTTGCCGACCGGGATAAAATCTCCGAAACACCGTTCATGCCGTTCATGTACGTACTGCCCAACATCAGATTTCGGCGAACTTGTCTAGCGCTCAACCTCTTTTCCTGAGACCATATCGTCGCGGCCACACCAGCAACTAGCGGTGCTGCCATGCTCGTTCCAGAGTATACAATCGTACTTCCATCTTTTGAAGCAGACGTGATGTCCGTTCCAGGTGCAATAATATCGACACATGGTCCAAAGTTTGAATAAGAGGCGAATCGATCATAAGGATCGGATGCAGCTACTGTTATGGCTGCCGGATTGCGAGCGGGACTATATGCGCATGCATTTGCACCCTGGTTACCCGCTGCTGCCACAACTAATACATTTGCGAGATACAGCTGTACAATAATCGCATCAATTGCCGCCGATGGCGGTCCGGTGAGAGACATCACCACAATGACTCGGTACTTATTTAATTTTGGTACATCTTTGTGCTTCGTAACCGTGGCCAATATTCTATTTAACCCTGCAAATATTGTAAGCGTATTACCTGCACCATTTCTGTCTAGCACTTTCACGCTGTGGATTGCAGACCCTGTTGCTGGGCCAAAACCAGCGCCGGCCACTAATGCTGCCACGTGCGTTCCGTGCCCGTAAAAGTCGTCAGCATCTTCATCAGTGAAAACATTGTAGAAATTTATCGCCTTATGAAAGCACGGATGGTGTACATTGACACCTGAGTCAACCACGTAGATATCAACGTTCTTTCCATCAGATTGCATATTCACATGTTGGTCGGCGTCCCCATCTAAATCTTGATCTCGCTGATTAATTCTGTCAAGGTGCCACACGGGCTGTGCACTACCAGCTTCATGCTTTGCCGCGTACGGCGAAATGTACTCGGCAGCAGCCACATCGTCATCCGCTAGAACACTTTCAAGTACATCCAGATCGGGATCTTCTAAAGCAACTATCTCTTGTGCTCCGGTTGACATTACCCCACGCACTTTCTTGTCGAATTTGTCTCCGAATTTGTTATTCATTCGCTTTGTGAGAGAGGTGCTTGACTTGCCCTTGTCTAATCTTACAATCACACCTAGTCCATAATCTAAATTTGAGTCCATTGGGGTTTGCCCTGAGATTGCTTCAACATGTGCGACGAAATTTGATGCTGCCAAGAGCGTGCCAAAAAAGAGACATGCCATGCTGACCTCTCGTTGAGTTCAGACTGCGAAAGCTATGCTATAGAATAAATATAAGTTTACAGCTTTTCTAAATATTACGAACGGGTACGTACTATACACTCACCGAAGTACTGAAGGCTAAGTCTGAACCTGGGTGGTATATATTTATACATACCCTTCTATTTTTAAATTGACGAAATATTCAAACTCATCACCCATCAGTCATCGAAGTCAACTTCAAAAGTTTGTGGATACTTTGGAATTCGCGATGCTCTTTTGAATTCCGATAGGCCTCCACCAGGCACTAGGAGTAATATTGTTTAAAAACTAGCCTCAAACCGTTTTTCGTTAAAACTTATATATATCGAATAAATATACGTTTACGTTCAACTTTTATTCCATATGCGGTCCTTTGTACGCCAACATGTGCGGTCTAAACATTCAAGTGTGTACGGTTTTTACCATACAAACCAGTCCTATAAAAAGAACTTAGGTAGCCCCTTCTGATCCCGTTATAACTGCTATAACGTTACATTCAACTTCAATTCCGTAAACCCATAACGTAATGAGCTTAGCTTTTTATTTTTTAAAGTGATTGGACTTTTATAAGACTAATGAATTACAGCCGTTGTCGAAGTACTGTTTTAACTATAATTACTAATTATATCTATATCTCTGCTTACTATAAATATGAAATTCCGGCTTTCTTTTCTTTTTAAATAAAAATTTGTAACTCGTGACTATTGTTCTAAATAAATAAAAATATCAAAATTATTTACAACTTTTGCCTTCTTTGTAATTGTTCTAAATTCAACGAAAATATTATACCACTGTCATGAATCACATTACTCACATTGGACAGACTGACAGAGTGTTTTTTATGTCTATTATATTGTAAAAACACTATATAAAAAAACATCCTCTATGTATATATATATAATTATATATTTAAATATATTAAAAATAATATATATCACTAAAAGCTCTAGCTAGTAAGTCCCTCAGAACTTTATTGGACCGAAACGTGAATTGAAGTTGCACTTTTAAAAAACCATGGGGCGCGCTTTCCCAAAAGAAACAAGGGTACGAAAACCCAAAATTAAAAATTATCGTAAAAGAAAACGAACAGTCGAACCACACCCCCCCCGCCCCCCAACAACCCGACGTCAGCGCCTCACAGCCAAAAACTCCTACAGCTAACCTCATTACGGTTCCCGTTAAAACGCAAAAAAAATCAAAAAGATAAGCGTTTACGTTTAAAGTTTACCGTATATAGGCAAAATATATTGAGCTTAGTCCTACAGGCCACACTCCACAGGGCACAGTGCCACAGGGCCGCAGGCCACAGCTGCACAGCAGTGTTATTTTTTTAACATATTACATACTAATTTAATCTGAGGCTCAGTCGTAACGGGTTTTTAGGGTTTTAGGTTATTTAAAACGTTCGGATTTCTACACCAATAGGTATAGGGTAATTTTATAATTTCAAGAAAAAGCCAAAAATAAATTCCGAACGAAATTTTCCGAACGAGGTCAATCTTTCGAGGGTAGGGTAAAAATACCTCTCGAGAAGTTTTACGTTCGGATCGGATTACGGGATTCGGAAACTGGAATCTAGGAAATGTATTCAACTTCACAAGCTTTGTGATTGGCCAGGGCTTGATTAATAAAAGCTACTACATTTCTCGAGACAAACACGCACAGTCTATAATCAACAATTAACAAATACCCGCATACATGTGTAACAGTATAACATACGCGCTGTACATACATATTACTAGAAGCACCATAATGAAAATGACAATGAACAATACCTGCGAGGGCGATAGTGTGTACTTTGACAGGACTGGCAACAGATATCGACAAAGCATGCCATCACAACAAAAGGTTGATTCACCTATGAATCATTAGGATGTCAATAACAAGTCCAATTATTCTAATATCTCATACTGATAAGACAAAAATGGATTCCATGATACTTTTAATGCATACGTTACTGAGAAGTATGATGGGAACTCGATGTAATACGATAAGTTATCCAATCGTGGTGACATTCGTTACGATCATTCCATACCATACACACAAGATTTCTGATCTTC